TGACGGTCCCACGTTTTTACGTCGATCAAGCAGGCTTGAAACCCCGCCGAGAATCGTACGATTCTCGGCGGGTTAGTGGCCTGCTTGTTCGACAACGCATGCGCACACTGCCCATTTGCAGTAATCGGAAGCCCACCCCTCATTGCAGTTATCGCAACTGCGGAACGGGCCGGTGTGTGCATGCCCGTTCAGCAAGGGGGGCGGACTTCCGATGATCTCAAGTACGATCTGCCTGTCCAAGATGGGCAGATTGTACAAGCTTTTAATTAGCTTACAACCATCGCAAGACAAAAGTCATGCGATGGTTGTAAGGTGTATGGGCACCATTAGCTATTCCATAAGCTATGTACTGAGGAGCTGCCTATATAATACACTCAATAATCGGTCAGGTAGGGCCTTGTGCTGCATTAGTTGCTGGTAAAGGAGGTGGTATAATGAGGTAGTAAAACTTGCTGCACAGAGTACACGCAGAAGATCTGATTCCAGATACTGAGACAAGACTGAACATTTTCTGGTTCAACAAACGTAGTTTACCCAATAGACTTATGTCGGAGGAGTCGGGGCTGATGATGTTCGGCTGAACAGTGACTGCCACCAATCAGTGGCAGTTTATGTTCATGTATTCTGACAGGAGCGGGAGCTGGCTGTCAGAATCCAAAGGCTCCAGTGGGAAAATCTTCCGTCCATGCTGTTTAGTGTGGATGGAGAAATCTGTTAGTTGTTTTTTCATTCCGCCTGAACAAAAACAACTACAGTAAACTCCCCGTTATCTGGCATCCACAGGGATTGGTAGATTCCGGATAAATATCGTTTCTGGTTGCTTGAGAGTTACTTTTAATAATGGGTCTAACTAATGCCATACCACATACTATACCATATCATCACAAACTCTGTATTGACTTCATATTAATATTGAAATGCAGTAATGTAAAGCACACTTAAGACAAATAGACACAATTATTTCCAGGATAATACATGCCGCAGATCAGCAAAACAGTGAGTACACAGAGGATTTTTTTTCTGGTTAGTTGAATGCCGGATAACTAAGAGTTTACTGTATTAATGTATGTACGGCCAGCTTCATAGTTCTTTTTAGCTGAGTCCAATGAGATTCACAAATTCTAGTCACATGGTTGAAAATCAAGATCCTTATGCTTTTGTTAAAGCTTTGTGATTTGAGCCTTTTATATCCCCATAAATAGCACTTTAGGTGATTTCATCCAAATAATCTGGCTATTTGTACATATTGTACTATATTGCTATAGACTAGACTTGTTCTATCAATTGCCTGATGCAGTATAAATTCAGCGCATGGTCATTTTTGAATTCTCTCTTTTAAAAAAAAAGTGGGGAAGGATTAGAATCCCTGTCAGAGTTTTACCGCTATTTTGGTGCTCTGTTAGAAAGATGTTCCCTCACTTACCAGGCTGTAACTGATGGAAAAATCTGGAGTTCCAGTCTTTTCGTACTCCACTTATGAAAAGGAAAAAAAAAAAGTGTGTGTAAGTATGCAGACTAGTTACCACATCTTTTTACTTTTCTTAAACTTATACAGTGCCAACAAATTCCATTGTGCTTGTCAAAGAATGTGGACCATTTGCATCAGTCCCTGCCTTGAAAAATTAAGGATGTTCAGATACCAAGTACAAGTACAGATACTTTTCCAGCTCCAAGACTAAACTAGAGAAAAACTGAAATGTTAGGAGGCAGCTGTCATTTGTAAGGAGCATACGGAGCTCCTGTGATCTGTGCATCCCTGTTTTATGTATGATTTTTTTATTGATTTATTTTTATAAATATATACAAGGGATGCACTGATACCATTTTTTGAAGTACTGATACTTGGCCAAGTACTCACAGATACAAGTACTGATACATTTTTGTTTATTGTCATGTGACAGTTTTTCTAAAACAATACAGACTAATGATTTCAGGACAGTGGTGGGGTGCTAGAGCCAGGTCCCAGCTGCAACCACTGCCACCCTGGTAGTTCTCATGAAAATGCCAAGTGTGTGTGTGTGTGTGTGTGTG